CCCCCCAAGCTCTGTGGGCCCCAGCTGATGAGCCCAGCAGGGAAGCAGCACATAAGCATTGTCATCCCGGCATGATCCCTCCTTGTCTCTGCCTTAGCTGATAGCACATTCAGAACCTAATTGTTATCTCAGCAGAGCAACTCCATTATTCAGCCTGACACCACCCCCCCTTCAGCTGTTTGTTGCGCTGATGTTATATTAATGAGGCCTGCAAATAAATGAATAGGAGATCAGAGTGCCGCTTGTTCGCAAGAAAACTGATTTTTATTTATTTATTGCTGAGACCACAGACTGCGTGGAAGTTTGGTGCTGTTAAAGGGACACCAGCAGTGATGGCTTGGCCCCATAGTCAGACCATGCAAAGAAAAGGACAGTGTATATACCGTTTGTTTACTTTTATGACTATTAAAGCATGATCTCTTTTTGCTAGTTACGCTTCCCCCAGAGGGAGTGGAACCTAGGAGCTATAACAGAAGGTATCCTGGGACATTGAGAGGTTTGGGTTTAGGAATACCCAAAACTGCAGGGTTTCTGCTGAGGCTCTGCCTTTGCCTATAGGCCTGACTGCCCAAGAACTTGCACAATTCAGTAATAGAACTTAGTCCGCTAGAGTGCCTTTCCCCATCAGCAGATCTCAAAGTACACAAAGGCGGCTATAGTTCTTTCTAGTTTTCCCCTTCTTTTTCCACAATAGTGGAAACCTGACTTTAAAAAAAAAAAACAAAAAAACCCCAAAAGGTAAATTCATAACAAGTGTGGAAGGTGAAACTCAAGGAAAAACACCAAACGCTGCAAGACTTACGATAAAATCACAGCAGCTCACAGCACTGCCAGAGTCAGCTGAGCACACGAGACAGATTCCCCTAAAACTTATGTTTTCTATTGCTGACCCTCACCGTGGAATCGGCCGATCTGCCAACAAAAGCACAGACAACGTTTCCTACTCATTGTCTCAGCTCCAAACCCACCCAGGGCAATCTTCCGAGACTCAGAACATCCCCTGGCGAGGCACACGTGCCTCCCGCTTTGACAGCCGAGACAGACCTGGGTATGCAGACAAGAAATGTGCAACAGCAAAGCTCTGCTCTTTTCTCTTTGGACAGAGACCAAAAATATTGCTTTCAAGTTGGACAGTGATAAAATACTCCGTGGCAGTGCCATGCCTGCAGCCAGCAATGAGAGCCAGCCTGAAAAAATGCTCAGATGCAAATTATTCAGTGGCTGGAGCAGAGTATTTTTTTCCCCTTCTTTGCCTAGCTCAAGGAGGGGTAAATAAATCTAAGACTTCTGAAATGTTACAACTGTCTGGACAGTTTATGATGAAGAAAATCCCAGGCAGAGGCTATTTTGCTTCCGGCATCTTGTAACATAACCCTGCGCACGCAGAACACTCAGATAAGGAAAAGAGGAGCTGCCTACTGCTGAAAGGGACCACGGGGGAGAGCTTACTCCTTCCCTTAAGGAGTTCTGGGGAGGAAGGGAACGAAGCCCCTTTGAGCCAACATCTTCGATAGGCTCCTGCTGTCAGGCAGGACGGGAAGGGGAGCTCCCAGGGCAGCACAGCCTGGGTAGCGCTCGCTGCCGCGTGCCAACCCATCACCGCTGGGATCAGCTCCGGCCAGAGCTGAGCGAGCGCCTCAGCACGCTCCTGAATCAGGAGGTAAGCAAATACAGGGAGCTTAAAGCAGGCTTCAAGTAGGACTTTGACACCGCAGCAGCCAGCTTTCTGCTCAGAGCGCATTTCAGGTGGAAAGTGAATGCTGTCAGTGCACTGCAACGTTTTCATTAACTTCCTCTATAACTTTTAAAAAGTTAATGGCAATGGGCACCCAGAAACATTGCTGCCAGGCCCCTCTTCCTGGAAAGGCTGTGACTTGGGAAGCGCCAGTGCTGGCAGGGCTCCCTGCTTGTTAACGCAAAAGCCAGACGACCTTGGGCCCAGGTAAGCGGCCCCTCAAGCACCTGAGTCTAAAATCGAGAGCAGACCTCCCTCTGGCGATGAGCAGCCAGCCCCCTTTCGGTTTGGAGCTCGGTAACTTTGGTTTCTTGTAACCGGCAGGACAAGGTGAACATCCCGGCATGCCCATAAGGCTCATTTTATCTCTACATAGATAGCTACGACCTGCTAGATAAGCAAAAAGAACTAAGGAAGGGGCAGACTCTCAACAGTTTTCAACATTTTCACCTCTCCACACAATCAAAACCACACCGACCTCCGCTCTGCAGTCGCACCAGCTCCGCTCGGCGTTTCGGTGTCTACCAAGCTCTGCACAAGAGAAACGCCTGCCCGTTATTAGCATGATCTGGCCAGGCAGAAGGTGCAGGAAAGAAACGCCAGAGGCCTGATAACGTCCCTGTGGGACGGACGGAGTCCCCTCAGCGGTATCCTCCATCAGTCAAGCCCAGCCCCATCACAACGCTACAAGCCTCTACGGTTTTCTCCTCTCCTTGAGGAAAAGGAGGCTCAGGCCTGTCTGCCAGGGGGTTTGAGCACGAGCTAGTTTAACTAGGCTGGTTTAGAAACCAATTTGCGTTAAGAGGAAACTTCCATATTGTAACAGGGTCTTTATTAAGCTGGCACAAGTACGCGGAAAAGCCCTGCTCCCTTCCCTGCCGTGCCCGGAGTAGCCACAAACATCGGTGCAAGAGGCCACTTGGCTACAACATTGTTTTACACCTGTGCCCTACTACTCCTTCGGCAGCACGGACGCACGCTCGGGACAAGGGAGGCTACTGGGGGGAGTTAATTAGGTGAGAAACCAAAACCTTCTTTCATCCCCACCTGACGTGTCACTCCTAATAGTAACGTTAACAGACCAGGAGCAGTTTTACTGGTAAAAATGCTCCTGGGAGACATTTTGCATCCCTCAGTGGTCTGAGCAGAAACATCAGAAACATCAACTATAGACTAATTAGCTCCCTAGTTTAATTAGCATTCATGCAACAGTCCATAGCGGTCACCCCACCGGTGACAGCGATGCCTGGCAAGTGACAGATGCCGAGCGGGGGCACCGGGGTTGCAAACTCTGCTCGTGTGCTCAAGAATCCGCAAATTAATTTCACGGAAAGTAGTGGAGCGTTTTCTTCTCTCTTCCTCAGCGCAGGACAGATGACGATGTATTTTCAGACTAGACGGAAACAGACGCAAATCAATTTTGATAGAATTAAGGAGAACGGGCCAGAGCTGGGCAGGCTCCAGGTACCCTCGCTTACCTCGGTGATACGTGGATTCGAGCACTTGACGTTTCTGCTGGACCAGTCGAGCCAGGGCTGAACGGCGGGGGAGCTGCAATGCTGGCGCAGCGTGCACTTGGCCTCGCCGCGGCACCAGCCGCACTCGAACTTCTGGTCGGCCTTTAGGCACAGGCCGCAGCTCTCCCGCTGGGCCGCGCACTTGTACAGGTGAACTGCGGAGAGGGGGGACGAGCACAGGCTGAGCGCCGCGGCGGAGCGCGGCCCCTCGAGCCTTACACCGCTTACGCCGGTCCCCAGCTCCCCAGGGCCGGGAGGAGTCGATCTCCCGGCATCTACCAGGTACGCGACGTCCCCGGCTGCAGTAACAGTGACTGTAGCTAACGCTGCTCTGCCTTAAAACCCACTTCCCAGCCCTCAACAAGCCTTCCTTCCCACGGCTCGAAAGCAAAACCGAACAGGCATTACCTTTCAAATCCTCTGGGTTGTCGATAACAAAGTTCCCGTTCCAAACCACAGCGAAGTCCACTGCTAAGTTGCTTATGTCCATCCCATCATAGAGATACTAAAGAAGAAGATTGAGAATGAAACGCTTGGGAGGATGCATCCGAGTCGGTAACACAAAAAGAGGATTTTTAAAATGATGTCAATTCTCTGCTTAAAAACCTGTGCTGATATCTGAACGACCACTAGGTTTACACTTCATCTCCAGGGTCCTGCTTTGGCTCACTTCTGCTCACCACTAAGATAATTAAATCAGATCTGGTCCCTGAGAGAGGCAAGAGATTAATTATTCCACTCACGTAGGCTGCTCTTGTCACTCAGTCGCTAGCTTATCAATACAGCCCCTCCAGTTAATCAAGCTAGAAAGACTGCTGCCTGCAGGCCATCTTCTTCTGTAGGCACCACGCACCCCAGTGTGACTGGAGCTTAGAAATCAAGCTGTACGGCTCAGGCTGAGAAAACAGGCAATAACGGAGGGAGAAAGAGATGGTGCAGAGAAGTCCTTTCCAAGGCTCTGCTTCAGTCTAGTCTATGGTAGCACTCACTTCAATTATTCACCTTCTCATGGACATCCTGCAGGCCACAGCAGCGTGGATTGGACACTTCAGATGAATTCCTACTGTACTTTGTAATCCCCATTATCACAATTAGCACCAATAAGGCCCCACATACAGCTGTTCTCTTTAAACCAACCAAGACCTGCTAAAAAGTCTTGGGTAACTGAGCATTGCCTTCATCTGTGGGATAAGGCAATGAAGTCTCGGCCAAGGCAGGCCGCTTAGAGCTTGTCCACGTCCAAAAACTGCGCTGTTTTAACTTATTACATTTAGTTATACTGATTTACCCAGCGTGGATTTTACAAAGTTTGTATAAAACCAGACCTTCTACTCAACTGAGAGAACAGTGAGCACAGAGTTGTCCTTAAATTTTCTACATACTATTTCCTATTTGCCTAACAGTAATAAAAGTGCTTTTCTAATATTCATAAATCACTTTGGATAGGAAAAGTACTATACAGTATTAAGACATTTATTAGCCACCAAGCTGCAAGGCCCAAAGACAGCCAGTGATGTATAAATATCCGGTGAAATTTTTAAAAATTCAAAACTTCATTAACAATTTAAGACCATCTTTGCTGAACATTAAAGTAGACCCTGAAGTTCTTCGTTCTGCTGCCTAAAACAAACTGAATGTGTCCTCTTTGCCCACGGACCTCTCCGAGTGCACAGTGAGGAGCCAGAGAAGCAAGGTCTTCCCTGCCCTTCGTCCCGCTGAAGCGGGCTAGGTGACAGGCGCACGCGGTGCAGGTGGAGGGTGCCCTGTGGACAGAGGCAAGGCTGTGTTTGCCTTAGGCAGTTCAGCGTTCCCAAGCAGGTGCCACAGCGACTCTGAAAAGCGAAAGCCCTCCCTGCGAGAACTGCTACACTATTAATACTGAGCGTTCCCAGCGGCACTGCTGGGAGGTTGCAGTAAAACCCTTCCAGGTCCATTCGCCAGGGCTGCCACATCCTGCTGCAGACTGAGGCAGAGCTATCTCCCCCTACCTGCTTCTTCAGCAGCATCGTTCGGGTAATTTCCATCTCTCTGTTGCGCCGTATCCTCTCTCCGGCGGTATTCCTCTCCCCTCCTTCCCTGCGCCGCGCAGCTTTTCAGCATTACTGTGTTCTGTCAAGCTGCCGTGACCTGGGATTTGACAGCTCCCTGATAAGGGGTCTGTGATTCTCTTTATCTCTCCCCTGTGAATTAGCTTGCCTTAACACCTTTGTGGCATCCCCTCCTCCTCCTCTTCCCTCTGCTGACCCCCTGCAGTCAGACAAGGGACTGCCAGATAAAGGATCTTCTCTGGGCCACTGTTATAATTAAACACCTTGCACGCCTACGGCGGAGTCCCACCTGGAATTTTTCACTCTTTCCTTCCCTCTAAACAGTTTCTTCTCCCTTATTCCTGAGGTTTAACCTGCCTCTTTCAC